TGCACTCTCCTGTTTAATATATACCTGTGCAAAAAGAACACATTAGCATAACAAAGAAAACATTTGTTAATCGGTTCATTATTCATTTAACCGTACTTTATTCATAATGGCTAATGAAAACATAGTTAAACGCTAACACAGTAAGAAAGTGCGCTTGGTGTGAATGTACGATCGCTTGTGTCCCCCGTAGATATGGAGCCGCCCATACGAGGGTGTGAGGGGGATTATCCCGGGGTAATCACAAGGTAGGACATCAAATGTGCCGGTGGTCCATGTATTGATAACGCAGAATTCAAGTAGGTTTTGTCGTCAGTTGAATGACAATTAGGGACAATTTGTATTTACTTTGGGAACAAGATATTTAATACGGGCAGTTTTTACGTGGATTCCCCACTGGCTGGGTTAAGGTGTAAAGTAAGCAGGTTTATCAAGAGTATGTTAGGACGATCTGGATTACCTGGATTAGAATCATGCTTGAAACTGAAATTAAGTAGCACAGTGAAGTGTTTTGTATTTCATATTGGTTTCATGTTCTATTTCAGCTTTAGAAGAGACAGTGTCGTTATAAACTGACATGTTTGTTGTGTTATGTCTTAATTTAGGTTTCCTACACCTGTTATCACATTGTTTCATTTGTGTTTATCAGTGTTTACTTACAAACTTGTATGGCAACTATGTGGCTTCCTTCCGAACTGAGAGAGAGACAGAGAGAGAGAGAGAGAGAGAGAGAGTGAGAGAGTGAGAGTGAGAGAGAGAGAGAGAGAGAGAGAGAGAGAGGTGGGAGGGAGAAAGACAGATACAATTACAATCATTTTAATGTGATTTTATTGAGAAGTTCAGGCATCGTTCAACTGCAGTGCTTGCAGATACCTGTTTTATTTGTATCTCAACTCTTGTGTTACATTTAGAAACACAACATACATCGCATTCACATCAGAAGAACAGGAACCATACAAAGGAAAACGTTCATAAATATACAATATTAATTATGATAGGAGTGTGTTGCATAGAGAAATTTCCAATATACATGTAGTTGAATATAAAAGTGTTGATGATATATAATAGTTTATAAGCATCATGCACGTGGGTCCTATTGAGATGGTTGAACGTGCGTCCTTGAAATAGTATTTAAAAGCTGTTTTGAAAGACGGTAATTGTATATTCTTGCGTCTGTGGCATGTTTCACGCCATGTCTATGTCTATTTCGGAAACAAAAATACATGAAGAATATGTTCGTAAGAAAAATGATGTTACAACATGTCCTAAAGGGTCAGGGAGTATAGTTCTAATACTACTGTTATCCTATTGCAGCCATATCAAAATCGTCCTAAACATTCACAAAGGTCCTCACAATTCTAGTATTACATTTAGATACAAAGCATACATCGCATTCACATTTGAAGAACTGGAGTTACTCAAAGGAACACAGGCTTAAACCTAATACTTCATACACTATATAACTTTAAGCAGATATTGTTTACGCTTATGGAAATGGTTTTGACACTTTTTTATTTATTAAACTGTGTATGGATATTGACAATCTATTCTGGTGCATCTTCTTTATTCTAATATTTAGAACCTTCTACTTCGCACCTTAACCCCTCCCTTGGGCTTCATGCAGAAAGTGTATATGTATACAGTAAAATATCTTTCTTAAGTGACATTAAGCTAACGATCTAAACCCTGCATTATCCTATATTATATCGGTACATTTGATGGCTAACTTGGATGATTACCAGACCTTAATCCCTCACACCTTGTTATATGTAGCTAATATCCACTGGACGCACAAGCGATAGTACTTTCACACAAAGCCCACATTGTTGTCGGGTCGCTTAATGTGTTAATGTTTATCTTCGTTTTCATTTGACAGTAGAAAACAATGTACGCTCAATTGGGCAATGAGCTTATACAACAAAAATGACATCATTCACCTACTATCTATTTGGTCCATTACAAAACCTATTTGAAGAATCTATTCAATAACGTGAAGAAGTCAGCTTTCCCTTTACGGACATCATATCTAAAGTATAGGTTTGTTTATCAGTTGTTATCAATAATATATGTCTTTGTCTGATCAAGAATAATGTTCACAGTATTACCGAAAAGCATAAACATAAATCTTATAATATGAAAAAATACTTACATTTTTCAATTCAGTTTTCCATGGGGGAAAAGTCGGGGAAACTGTCTTTGAGACTTTTTGCAGTGATAGCGAGAATTGAAAAGTTTCATATTATAACAAATGAATGAATGTGTGTGCGTGCGTGCGTGCGTGCGTGCGTGCGTGCGTGCGTGCGTGCGTGCCTGCGTGCCTGCGTGCGTGCGTGCGTGCGTGCGTGCCAGCGTTGCTGCTAGTACTAGTCCGGACTGATGCCGATTTATAGCACTAGCACACTGAGGTACCATGCCGCATGAATACCCAAGTCAGACACAGTATACCGACCAGTCCTTGATTTAGTCCCTCAATGCCGAGCGCCAGACAGGGTAACACCAGGTACCATCTTTTAACGTCTTTTGGTATGACGTGGCCGGGGATCGAACCACTGACCTTCCTTCCGCTATCCGGGCGGACCCTCTACCCCTAGACCACGGAGGCGGTCGAATGAATGAATGAATGAATGAATGAATGAATGAATGAATGAATGAATGAATGAATGAATGAATGAATGAATGAATGAATGAATGAATGAATGAATGAATGAATGAATGAATGAATGAATGAATGAATGGTGATATTGACACTTACGTGTTGAGGTATGAGTTATGACAATTTACAGGCTGTTTGTTGCTTTGTTACCATGTTGTGATGCATAAGTGTTATATATGATGATTCCATGTGAATGTTCTCATGTCTAATAATAGAAACAATTTCTGAAACAAATTATATTTGTAACTTCTTCTAAAACAGTGCCATCGATGATCACAACCTAAGAGCCTAAGTAATGAGGATCGGTAGTGACAGCGTGTGACCTGACCAAGTAGGAGTCGTAGAACCCCGACGTGCCCCTGACACTGCCGTATTCTAGCTACCTGACTGTGTGATGAAACACCATTCCCTCACTCACTCATTGATACTGTGAAAAATGACTGACTGACAACTTCCTTGTATTACAGATACAAGAGTGAAAAATACATTGATGATATTACAGTGATATTTACGGGTTCCGGGTATCTTAGATATCTTTTATTTCTAAATAAATAAATTTGCTTTTTTCGGAAAATAATTACAACATTTCAAACAATGTAGGGGTCACGTGGTTGCAAATTCATTTCTTACCCAAGTCTCCATTGAACCAATTTATGTTCACTCACAATTATCAAGCTACAGATTAATTTTACATACAGTTGCAGGATACGGAATGAGCGATGCTTAAAAAAGACATAATTAAATATAACTAATTCTTTCAATTTTCAGTGACAAATCAGTTTTATCAATATGCTCAACGGTTAATGTGAAAGCTTGGATATTTACATATAAAGTAAAGGTATGATAGTAGAATGTATGTGATACGATTTCGGTATCCAGTTTGTGTATCTTACTAAATATTTGACATTTCGATTATTATTTATACAAATCTGGTCATCACGCACTCATATATTATGACAGTCATCAAACGGTAAAGTGTTTCAGTGCCATTGACAAAATGTAAGAACATCATTTTGAGAAGTTTACCTCGCATAATTATTATAACAACAAACGCTTCTCATTTTCGACCACATCCCTCCAAACTTAAAACTTGCAAGATCGTGCAGGGTTTGGAACGGTGACAAACCATGAATACAAAAACGTATTTATTAAGAGCATGTCTTTAAGACGTTCCTCAACAAACCATCTCGTATGTCACTTCACAGACAATAATGTAAAGATTGTTGTTGTTGCTGCTGTTGTTGTTGTTGTGCACCTGATTATTACTTTACATAGAATTTCTCATAATAGAATGTTTAATTTTCTTTTTATGAATAATTTAAAGGGTCAGATTGTGCTGGGTTTGGAACTGTGACAAACCATGAATACAAAAACGTATTGATTAAAAGCAGGTCTTTAAGACGTTCCTCAACAAACCATCAAACCATATTTGGAAATGTCCTCCACATATCTTCCATAATACTGTTTGAAAGCTTTTCTAAGGCTTTGAATGTTGAATATCAGATCATGGACATACTTGAAGCCTATGTTAAACTACTTGGCCAGATTCCCTTGTTTTGACTTTACCAATCCGAGCTGATAATTTCTTATTCATATGCATAAAAAAACATAATAACAAGAAGGGGATGACAGTTGGTGCCCATTGAGATGCCTTCTTCTTGCCTTAATGTTGTATCTCCAATTTTTACATAGATATTATCAATGTAGAAGTCAAGCATTTCACGAATTGTCTTCTCAGTAAACTTCGGACGGCATTTGCTTTCATTTTTGACAAACTACCCCGAACCTTAAGAAATAGAGATACAACTGTAAACATGGAAAAAGATTCAAGGAATGAATTTTTCGTTAAGTTTGTGATGTGGGATAGTTGTGTTGTTGAAAACTCAATTGTTTTGACAGAATTGAACTTTGTTTTTTTCTGAGATTAGAAACATTCAAGTAAATACGTCGAGTATTTGTTAATCCACATGGTATTAATTCCTAAAATACTTTCTGCACAAATAAAGAAAGCCCTTCCTTGATTATATTAAGGATTCCGGTTAAACTTCGAGAGATATATTCGGTGGTAGAGTTTCTGGATCCAATCATGTATTTCGCTCCGTACAGGTATGTATGGAACATTTATAAAGAAATAAAGGAGAATGAACAAATTGTAAGTCAGTATTTATTTTTATTGTACGAATGTTGTATCACAGAGTGGGTGGTAAAACAGATCAACATATGTGTAAAGTATTCAGTTATTGCCTCAACATTCAGGCACCAAAACAACAATAACAATAGCCTTAAATAAGTCCCTCAAAACCGATGGTCCGGTAGTATCTGAAATCTGATTCATCATTTCATCTTCAGATTACCAAAGAGGCATCTTGAGCGGAGACGTGTCTATTATGAGACTTCGACTGCGCATGTTCTGTTTCTCTCCTGCTGTCCACGACTTGGACTTCACCCGGAAGTGACGTAGTTGTTTGGAGTAATCCTGGTGTAGCATGGGAACATAGCTTCTTGGTTGACACTGAGTCTGAAATAGAGTTGTAAAGACACATTATTACATAACATTTTACAAAAAAGTAGTACAGTACAAATAACTCTGCTTTATTAAAATATATACGAAAAACGTTTACATGTACACTAAATATAGACATATTTATCTTTCCCGAAAAGGGACTCCCGTCAGTTTCAAACGTTTCTCAGCCTACCTGATGTTGTTCATAGAAGGCCTTGTATCCGCCATCTAACAGGTATACTTCCGGGTAGAAGAGGAAAGGGTAACGGTCACTGTTCATCTTCCGGTCAAGGTTTCTAAGATGGCGCAATCTGTATCAGAAGATACATCACTGAATGAAACGTTGCATAAGAAAATGATAATTACTTTCGATGTCATTAGTATTTTACATCGTGCAATAAACGTATAAACCGGTTCACATATATTTGAAGTTGTTTATATCAACCACTTTTATGAAATACTTACAGTTTCGGGCCTCTCTCTGATGAAAATTCACAGTGGAAGACCAGGATGTTCCGTTGAATGGAGTCCCTCGCCCGTAGATTGGTCACTAAATCTGTGATCAGAGCCTCGTTGTGAAGGTTCTGGGCACCCTGAAGTTGAAAAATAGCAGTATTTAGATTACAGACCTTAAGAATGTTGGTCTCTGCCATTGTAGATTTGTTTATAATGTGTAAGATCGCCACACCAATATTAAAAAAGGAGTTGAATATATTTGTGATATTTGGGACATTTTACCTCAATATGTCCGCCTTCATATTCATAGGGGTAACGACAGTCGATGATTTGGTAACCGGAAATGACGTCATCATATTTTCCAGCAAGAAGTTGACTGACTGTGTGTGGAGACACAGATTTGAGATCCTTGTGTCTGCCTCGTATGGTTGGGAGACTATGAATCTAAAACATAAGGAAAACTTCATAATAACTTGAATAATAAATTAATGCTATTTATATGTCTATGTGATAGAAATGTTAACAAAATGATGAATGTCCTTATTATTGCAATTAATTAGGCAATTCAGAACCGCTTAATAATCGACATGAGAATGGAATAATAAACCTTCTACAAACCTGTGAACCATCACCGATCAGGTCAACCTCATTTTGCATTTTGTCCACAGCTGTTTTCATAACTTCTGACGTTAATTCTACTTGGGTTTCATGGACAACGTAGGCGGATTTGTGTTTCTTCATCTGCTGAGCTTGAACGTGTTCGTCATTTTCATCATCATAATCACGTGGTCTCTTTCCCGTGAAAAGCGACTTCCTTGTGCCATGAAAACTAGTTTTCATGTGAGCCAAAGATTGGGGAGACACCTGAAGAAAAAAACATATATTGCCTTTAATTTTCTAAATAACTGTCTTTCCTTTCTTTGTTTATATCTTTCTATCTGTCGTATAGATTTTAAAAAAAGCGCGATATATTATTCAACACACCTCGTCGTCACTGCAGAGAGAGTCAAAGCCGCTATCTCGTGAGTCTTCATCATCGAAAACTAGGCTTTGGGGTTTGAAAACCTCCAGTAAACTCTGACGTTGCTTTCTAGACATTGTCGTGAACAAATAATTTCAACAGGGATAGGAAAATGTATCTAGTATCTTGTGTTTGCTATTTAGACAGCTGTCAAGCGAATGGTGCTATGTCTGTCCTCTCTCATATCTATATACCTTTACTAAAACAACATATTTACATAACAAAGACAACACTCGTTGATCGATTCTTTACCCAATTGATCGTACATTGTTTATATTGGTTAATGGAAGCAGTATAAACATTCACACATTAAAGGAGATCGGTTAAGTATTGTAGGCTTGGTGTGAATGTGCGTTCGCTTGTGTCCACCGCAGATACGTAGATACCTGTACGGTGAGAAGGGATTATCCTGGGACAATTATAATCATCCAGGAAGAACTTCAAATTAGCGGTAGACAATGTTTGGATAACGTCGGACGCAGGTCGTGCTGGTCGTCAGTTGAATGACAATTAAGGCCAGTTTAATTTGTTGTAACTTCGCGAACGCGATATTAATGCCGGAGCACTTTCTATGTGGATTCCCATCTAGCTAGGTTAATGTGTTAAATAAGAAAGCTTTGTCAGAGGACAGTTAGGATGATCTGGATTAGATGGATTATGTGCTTGTTGAAAGCGCATTAATCGTTATATGGTCATTAACATAAACAAGGTAATTCTAGTTATTTACTGGATTGTAAAATATTGTGTGTAACCAGATACTCCGAAAGAGGTAGTCATGCCCTGCTCTACCGGTTTCACCAGTAATAGGAGATGGAGATATTGTCTTTGTTTTAGTGTAGAGTTATGTTGACGGTATACGTACTAAGATGATTATCAATCGAACACGCATTGTGATGTTTCAAATGTCTGTTTTAGAGGTGCATTCGGTTGAAAAAATGCTGTCACAACGTAAAGGTGAGCGATCTCCATCGAAAACGCAGAATCATGATAACTATTCTACTTTTAAAAACTTAAATGTTAAGTCTAATGTTACCAGGGTTCTGATCTAATTTAAGGAATCGTCGATCACATTCTATTTATAGTGGAATTTGTACCCAAACAACGTTGTCGTCATGCAAGTGGCTAATGGATACTTCTTGAGAAATAACGTCAAGGGAGGTTTAGGTCTCAAGCACATCACTATAATCACGTGACAATATTCTACTTTTGCAATGGGCTGCAAAGGAAAAGGCCAAATTTAAAACTAAATAATCTCTCAATGTCGGTTGTCATGGTATTTTGTGTCCAGATTATACTGCCATCTATAGTTTAGTTTTCATTTAAACTGAGCATCGTTATCGTAATGTAAGAATTGTTAAGTGCTTCAAGTAAGTGATGTGACAAATACACTTACAGTTTCGGGCCTCTCTCTGATGAAAATTCACAGTGGAAGACCATGATGTTCCGTTGAGTGGAGTCCCTCCTCTGTAGACTGGTCGCTAAGTCTGTGATCAGAGTCTCGTTGTGAAGGTTCTCGGCACCCTGAAGTAAATAATAAGTAAAATGTAGACTTAGACTGTTACTGTATCTTAGGCAACCTGAAGTAAAATGTAAACTTAGATTTTAAGAGATATTAAGAAAGATACAATCAATATGTTGTTAATATGGTATAAACATAGCCTATGAACAATATTACATGGCCATGATTGAATTGTTTTGAAGGAGTTTAAAGACAGTAGCATACCTCAATATGACCACCTTCATATGCATATGGGTAACGACAGTCGATGATCCTGAAGCTGGAAATGACGTCATCGTACTGTCTTGCCAGAAGCTGACTAACTGTGTGTGGAGCCACGGTTTCTGGAAAAGAAATAATTTCGATATTGATTTAAATGTATAGTTGTTTTCCAGTTACCTCGTCATCTTCAAAATCAGCGTGCAATTTACTTATTTGATTGATGATAAGAAGCCATCAGCCTCCAACAAACCTTGGAGCCATCACCGATGACATCAGTCCCTTGTTCCATTTTGTCGACGGCTGTCTTCATAACCTCTGACGTGACTTCTGTTTGGGCTTTGTGGACACCATTGGTTGTTTTAAATTTCTTCACCTACCGAGCTAGAATATGATCTTCAGCACCATCGTCATCACGTCGTCTCTTTTCTCCGAAAAGGGATTTCCTTGTTCCATGGAAACCAGTCCTCCTGTGATCCAAAGGTAGTGGCGACACCTGATAAAGAAACATATCCCACCAAATGTTTTATTTGGATTAGACTTTTTTTATGAATATAGATATTTCTGGCAAATATTATATTTTGTTTCAAGCATTTACAGGATAGTATATTGATATACCTAAGTATTTCTGCAAATAAAAACTGCCCATAGTGTTAAATGAAATGTAACAAACCTCGCTATCACTGCCAAGAGATTCAAAGCCACTATCTCGAGAGTTGTCTTCATCGAAAACTAGGCTCTGCTTGATAAAGATTTCGGGTGAAGTCGGACACTCAAGGTTATTTGACAGGTCACTGGAAAACTGAAAAGAACTATTTTTCATATGATTGTTTTCATCCTTTAATTGTTTCTTATTATGATTAAATGAACATAAGAAGTCGGTCTTTTGGTTGTGAAACAAGTCAAAATGTTATTATAAATTAATACTTACCGAGAGCTGCCTTCTTGACATTATGACACAAGTATAATATTGGTAAGAAATGTAAGTTGGACAATTGAACAGTTTTAAGGCGAATGACACAATGTCTGTGTTGTTGTTGTTGTTGTTGTTGTTGTTGTTGTTGTTGTTGCATTAAGTGTTTAAGAGGTCGCCTTCTGCTTAAGCAATTTCGGCTGACCTGTCCCTCTGTGTGTGAGTAGGGTACACATGTCTATTGTGAGTTTGGTATTCACCGCTAAAGCATCTCTTGGCTTTAGGAGATCTATGACAGATAGTGGATCTAACTGCAATTTTTGTCAATGTCTGTGCATTCTCCTGTCTATATATATACCTATACAAAAACAACACATTAACATAACAAAGAAAGCACTCGTTAATCGGTTCATTATTCATTTAACCGTACTTTATTCATAACGAATAATGAAAACATAGTTAAACCCTAACGAGGGTGTGCGGGGGATTGTCCCGGGGTAATCCAATGTGCCGATGGTCCATGTATTGATAACACAGAATTCAAACAGGTTTGGTCGTCAGTTGAATGACAATTGAGGACAATTTGTATTTACTTTGGGAACAAGATATTTAATACGGGCACACTTTTTACGTGAATTCCCCACTGGTTTGGTTAAGGTGTAAAGTAAGCAGATTTATCAAGGGACTGTCAGGATGATCTGGATTAGCTTGATTAGGATCATCCTTGTAGAAAACGTCTGAATGGTTGGACGGTTGTTAACTGAAATTAAGTAACAGTGAAATGTTCAGCTAGCTTTAGAAGAGACATAAATTTCTGTTCATATATACAGACATGTTTTGTGTACAATTTCTAGGCTTCCTACACCTGTTATCGCGTTGTTACAGACATTTGTGTTTATCTTTGTTTACTTACAAGCTTGTATGGCTATGGCGTGGCTTCCTTCCAAAATGCATGTTAAGGCTAAATATATGGGTGAGTGAGTTGGGGTTTTTTTTGCCGCTTTAGGCAAATCACGAAGGAGAAAGAAATGGGCTGAGAGAGAGAGAGAGAGAGAGATTACAATATTTTCAATTGCAATGCTTACAGATTCCTGTTTTATTTGTATCTCAACTCTAGTGTTACATTTAGATACAAAGCATACATCGCATTCACATCAGAAGAACAGGAGCCATAAAAAGGAAAAAGTTCATAAATAGACAATATTAATAATGATAGAAGGAGTGTGTTGCATAGAGAAATTTCCAATATAGTTGGAGGATATATAATAGTTAATTAGCATCATGCATGTGGATCCTATTTAGGTGGTTAAACGTGCGTCCTTGAAATACTATTTAAAAGCTATTTTGAAAGACGATAATTGTACATGCTCGCGTCTGTTGCATGTTTCACGTCATGACTATTTCTGAACCAAAAATACATGAAGAATATGTTCGTAAGAAAAATGATGTTATAACATGTCCTAAAGGGTTAGAGACTTTAGTTCTAATACCGCTGTTATCCTATTGCAGCCATTTCAAAATAAGATCTCACAATTCATAAAGGTCCTCACAATTCTAGTGTTAAAGTTAGATACAAAGCAAAGATCGCATTCACATTTGAAGAAATGGAGCTACTCAAAGGAACACAGGCTTAAACACATAATTACTTCATACACTATATACCATGTCTTTAAGCAGATATTGTTTACGCTTATGGAAATGGTTTTGTCACTTTTTTATTTATTAAACTGTGTATGGATATTGACAATCTATTCCGGCGCATCTTCTTTATTCTAAAATTTAGAATCTTCTACTTCGCACCTTAACCCCTCCCTTTGGCTTCATGCAGAAAGTGTATCTGTATACAGTAAAATATCGTTCTTAAGTGACATTAAGCTAACGATCTAAACCCTGCATTATCCCATATTATATCGGTACTTTTGATGGCTAACTTGGATTATTACCAGACCTTAATCCCTCACACCTTGTTATATGTAGCTAATATCCACTGGACGTACAAGCGATAGTACTTTCACACAAAGCCCACATTGTTGTCGGGTCGCTTAATGTGTTAATGTTTATCTTCGTTTTCATTTGACAGTAGAAAACAATGTACGCTCAATTGGGCAATGAGCTTATCAACGAGTGTTATCTTTGTTGCATACGCGTGTACTTGATTCAGTAACTGTATACACACTTCAAATACAACAGAAATGGTATCATTCACCTGCTCTCTATTTGGCCCATAGTATTGCAAAACCTATTTGAAGAATCTATTCAATAACGTGAAGAAGTCAGCTTTCCCTTCACGAACATCATATCTACAGTAAAGGTTTGTTAATCTGTTGTTATCAATAACTTTGTCTGATCAAGAATAATGTTCACAGTATTACATGAAAGCATAAAAATTAATCTGATATATAATATAAAGAAATACTTATATTTTCCATTCAGGTTTTAAAGTCAGAATTTACAGGAAGTCTTCATCCTAAAGAGCCTCGACGACGAAGATTTCACAAAACAGTCTTTGAGTCTTTTTGCAGCGACAGCGAGAATTGAAAAGTTTCATATTATGCAGCATACAGCCATTATAGTTTCGAATGAATGCATGAATGAATGAATGAATGAATGAATGAATGAATGAATGAATGAATGAATGAATGAATGAATGAATGAATGAATGAATGAATGAATGAATGAATGAATGAATGACAAGAAACACTATAGATCAGACAATGTCGCTAATTGACTCAAAATATATAGAAGTGACATCGGAAATTGTGAAGAGAGTTTCATAAAACAAATGGTCTTATCGGTGATGGTTATTAGTCACCATCAGAAGGAGAGAAACAGAGCATACCCAGTCGACGTCTCCACATTGATGTGTCTCCACTCAAGCTATCTCCAGTCTGATTTGACTGAAATACTCTGGCGATGGTGTTGATACCTGCGTGTTGAGGTTTTAGGGAAAGACAATTTACAGGCTGTTCGTTGTTTTGTTACCGTGTTGTGATACATTAGTGTTGTATATCATTGTTCAATGTGAATAAACTCAAGACACTCACCTATTTCCATGTCCTCATGTCTAATGAACCTACCATTTAACATTCTGGTCGGGGGACTTAGGTTCAAGATAGAGACAAAATATGTGTCGTTACCTGATTGAAAGCATACAGCATATTTTTGTTACCTCTTCTCAAACAGCACCATCGATAATCTCTGTTGATGTTGTCTTATCACTCCTATTTTATCTGCTACCTTACTGTGTGATGAAACGCCATGCCCTCACTCACTCATTGATACTGTGGCTGACAACTTCCTTGCGTTTCCAATTACAGATACAAGAGTGTAAAAAGGCATTGATGGATAAATCTAGACTGATGGGCAAAAGAAACTATACCTCTCTATTGATTTTGTCTTAAATGTGTTAGATTTTCAATTGAAAATATCCTAAGTTGTCGATATTATATAAAAGAAATTACTGAACTGGATGTAAGTTAGCACTCAATGAACGCTTCTGTATGGTTGTATTTCTAAGAATATATTTTGATTTAAAACTTTACATTCACAACTGCTGGTGGGTATCTTAGATATCTTATATTTTTAAATAAATAAATTTCTTTTTTTCGAAAAATAATTACAACATTCCAAACATAGTAGGGGTCATGTGGTTGCAAATTCATTTCTAACCATAGTCTTCATTGAACCAATTTATATTTACACACAATTACCACCAAGCCACAGATAAATGTTCACAAACTTATGCAGGAATGAGTGATGGTTAAAAAAGACAATCAAGTTTAACTAATCTTTCAATTTTCAGTGACAAAGCGTGGATATTTACATGTAAAGTAAAGATATGATAGTAACATGTTTGTGATACGTTTTCGGTATCCAGTTTGTGGTTTCTTACTAAACACTCGACATTTTGATTATTACTTATACAAATCTGGTCACCACATACTCAAATATTATGATAATCATCAAACGGTAAAGTATTTTAGTGTCATTGTAAAAATGTAAGAAAATCTAGTACATCATTTTTAGAAGTTTACCTCGCATTATTATTATGACAAGAAACGGTTCTCATTTTCGACCGCATCCCTCCAAGCTTAAAACTTGCAATTAAAGCTTTTTCATTTTTTTAAATGCTGAAGTTTCTTTTGGTCGTCGGTTTAGATTTATTTATATGTACCTTGAACACTTACTTAAGCTCAATTTATGTCTGTATATACAATTTATATCAGACTTCAGCATATGGATGAGTTGGGGGTTAATGCTTCTCTGAAGATTAGAGTTAAACCTTAAAGTTTTTCATCTTAAGATGGTAGGAAAGTAAAATTGCCAGATTGTGCAGGGTTTGGAACTGTGACAAATCATGAATACAAAAACGTGTTTATTAAGAGCAGGCTCTTAAGATGCTCCTCAACAAACCATCTCGTATGTCACTTCACAGACAATAATGTAAAGATTGTTGTTGTTACTGCTGCTGTTGTTGTTATGCGCCTGGTTATTACTTTACACAGAATTTCACCGGAGAGGCAGGATAAAATCATCTTTTTGCGAACACCTGCTATCATCACTATTTTTTAATGATTCATAAATACATGATCATAATATCGAAATTGGACAATGGACTTTTGATTATTGAAAGGGTTTCGTCGTCTTAATGTAATTCCAGCTGTATTGTATAAATATAAGTGACAAAAACATCAGTTTCGTCATTGATGCTGATAAAAAGGGTGGAATCAGATAGAGATAACGTTTAGGTTTTTTCGTTTCATAAATGTACAGTTTGATTTTACTGTTCTGCCAACATGTTGGTACTAGTTTCTTATTTCACAAAAGATAAACGTAGAAGGTGATGATCCTGGCGGTCATACAACCAAGTACAATTCATTCGTTGTCGCATTGTGGCTTCCTTATCTTAAAGGGAAGCTAGGACAGGTTAATTGACAGCCCCAAAAACATTGATTCCAGTCTTTCAAACACCACTCTGCTCAAATTGTATAAAGCATGGGAATCTGACAAACAAAGGCACGTCAACATAAGGATTTTCAGCGGTTATTGTTTTTGTCACTGATGTGTCTTATTTGGAAATGTCCTCCACATATCTTCCATAATACTGTTTGAAAGCTTTTCTAAGGCTTTGAATGTTGAATATCAGATCATGGACATACTTGAAGCCTATGTTAAACGTTTTGGCCAGATTCCCTTGTTTTGACTTTACCAATCCCAGCTGATAATTTCTTATTTCTATGCATAAAAAAACATATCAACCAGAAGGGGAGGACAGTTGGTGCCCACTGAGATGCCTTCTTCTTGCCTTAATGTTTTATCTCCAATTTTTACATAGATATAATCAATGTAGAAGTCAAGCATTTCACGTATTTTCTTCTCAGTAAACTTCGGACGGCATTTGCTTTCATTTTTGACAAACTACCCCGAACCATAAGAAATAGATATACAACTATGGACATCGAAATGATTCAAGGAATGAATGTTTCGTTAAGTTTGTGATGTGGGATAGTTGTGTTGTTGAAAACTCAATTGTTTTGACGGAATTGAACTTGGTTCTTTTCTGAGATTAGAAACATTCAAGTAAATACGTCGAGTATTTGTTAATCCACATGGTATTAATTCCTCAAATACTTTCTGTACAAACAAAGAAAGTCCTTCCTTGATTATATTAAGGATTCTGGTTAAACTTTAAGAGATATATTCGGTAGAGTTTCTGGATCCAATCATGTATTTCGCTCTGTGCGGGTTTGTATGGAACATTTATAAAGAAAAAAAGGAAATGAACAAAATGTAAGTCAGTATTTATTTTTATTGCACGAATGTTGTATCACAGATTGGGTGGTAAAACAGGTCAACATATGTATAAAGTATTCAGTTATTGCCTCAACATTCAGGCACCAAAACAACAATAACAATAGCAATAAATAAGTCTCTCAAAACCGATGGTCGGGTAGTATCTGAAATCTGATTCATCATTTCATCTTCAGATTACCAAAGAGGCATCTTGAGCGGAGACGTGTCTATTATGAGACGTCGACTGCGCATGCCCTGTTTCTCTCCTGCTGTCCACGACTTGGACTTCACCCGGAAGTGACGTAGTTGTTTGGAGTAATCCTGGTGCAGCATGGGAACGTAGTTTCTTGGTTGACACTGAGTCTGAAATAGAGTTGTAAAGACACATTATTACATAACATTTTACAAAAAAAGTAGTACAGTACAAATAACTCTGCTTTATTAAAATGTATATGAAAAACGTATACATGTACACTAAATATAGACATATTTATCTTTCCGGAAAAGGGACTCCCGTTAATTTCAAACGTTTCTCAACCTACCTGATGTTGTTCATGGAAGGCCTTGTATCCACCATCTAACAGGTATACTTCCGGGTAGCAGAGGAAAGGGTAACGGTCACTGTTCAGCTTCCGGTCAAGGTTTCTAAGGCAGCGCAATCTGTATCAGAGAACCGTTTTATAACGAGAGGCTAAGATATGCATGCTTGTTTGAGTGTTCATTTAAACTGAGCATCGTTATCGTAATGTTAGAATCGTTCAGTGTCTCAAGTGAGGAATGTGACAAAATACTTACAGTTTCGGGCCTCTCTCTGAGGAAAATTCACAGTGGAAGACCAGGATGTTTCGTTGAATGGAGTCCCTCCCTTGTAGGCTGGTCACTAAGTCTGTGATCAGAGTCTCGTTGTGAAGGTTCTCGGCACCCTGAAGTAAATAATTAGTAAAATGTAAATGTTACTAGATGTTAGGCAAAATACAATCAATATGCTCTTAATGTATTATTCTATGAACAATATTACATGGCCATGGTTGTACTGTTTATGTAAAGACAGTAGCATACCTCAATGTGACCACCTTCATATTCATATGGGTAACGACAGTCGATGATCCTGTAGCTGGAAATGACGTCATCGTACTGTCCTGCCAGAAGCTGACTGACTGTGTGTGGAGCCACAGACTTGAGATCCTTGTGTCTTCCTTGTATGGTTGGTAGACTATGATTCTGGAACACAAACACTAACGTTATTGATATAAATTTGAAGTTGTTTTCCAGTTATCTCGTTATCTTCAAAATCAGCGTGCATTTTTTAACTCTAAAGAATGTATTTGATTGATAAATATGAAATAATTAGTCTCCAACTGACCTGTGAGCCATCACCGATAAGATCAGTGCCCTGTTCCATTTTGTCGACGGCTGACTTTATAACATCTGACGTGACTCCTGTTTGGGCTTTGGGGACAACATTGGTTGTTTTAAGTTTCTTCATCTGCCGAGCTAGAATATGATCTTCAGCACCATCGTCATCACGTCGTCTCTTCTGTCCGAAAAGAGATTTCCTCGTTCCATGGAAACCAGTTCTCCTATGATCCAAAGGTAGTGGCGACACCTAATGAAGAAACATATCATCAAATGTTTTATTTTGATTAGAATAATGTTTAAGAATATACATATGTCTGTCAAATATTCATTTTGCTTGTTTCAAGCGTTTACAGTATGGTATTTATATACTAAGTATTTCTGCAAATAAGAACTGCCCATAGTGTTAAATGAAATATAACAAACCTCGATGTCACTGCCAAGAGATTCAAAGCCACTATCTAGAGAGTTGTCATCATCGAAAACAAGGCTCTTCTGGGTGAAAACTTCCGGTGAAGTCGGACACTCAAGGTTATTTGACAGGTCACTGGAAAACTGAAAAGATGAAACGAAATAGTTTTCATATGTTTGTCTTCATCCTTAGTTTTTTTCGAATTATGATTAAATGAACATGAGACGCCGGCCTTGTAGTTGTCAAACAAGTATAAATGTCGCAATAAATAAATAGTTACCATGATCTGCTTTCGTGACATTATGACACAAGTATTTTCAAATTGTTTCTGTAATGCTAAGAGATGTAAGTTGGACAGTTGAACAGTTTGAAGTCGAATGATACAATGCCTGTGCACTCTCGTGTTTATATACCTGTACTAAAACAACATATTAACATAACAATGAAAACACTCGTTAATCGTTTTATTATCCAGTTAACCTTCTCTATTCATAATGGCTATTGAAAACATAGTTAAACGCTTACCCAGTAAGAAAGTGCGCTTGGTGTGAATGTACGATTGCTTGCGTCCCCCGTAGATATGGAGTCGCCCATACGAGGGTGTGAGGGAGATTATCCCGAGGTAATCACAAGGTAGGACATCAAATGTGCCGGTAATCCATGTATTGATAACATAGAATTCAAGTAGTTTTGGTCGTCAGTTGAATGACAATTAAGGACAATTTGTATTTACTTTGGGAACAAGATATTTAATACAGGCACACTTTCTGCGTGGATTCTCCATGGGCTGGGTTAAGGTGTAAAGTAAGCAAATTTATCAAGCGGTTGTTAGGATGATCTGGATTAGCTCGATTAGACCCACCCTTGTAGAAAACGACTGAATGGTTGGATGGATGTTAACTGAAATTAGGTAACACAATGAAATGTTTTGTATTTCATATTGGTTTCGTGTTCTAGTTCAGCTTTAGAAGAGACATATATTACTGTCGTCATAAACAGACATGTTTTGTGTGCAATTTCTTATCTAGGTTGCCAACACCTGTTGAATTATCACGCTGTTTCAGACATTTGTGTTCATTTATGTTTGCTTAAAAGGGTAACTTGGTTTGTTTGGCTTCGATAAATGTGGCATACTTCCAAACTGCAAGTTAAGGCCAAATATATGGGTGAGTGAGTTAGTTTTTTCGCTTGAGCAATATGCCAGGCAAATCACGGGAGGTACACCAGACATGGGCTTCACACTCTGTGTCCATGTGGGGAATCGAACCCGGACATTCGGCGAAACGATCGAATGCTTTATGCACATGGATATCCCATCGGCTCTGGGATCAATTTCAACGGATAGTTTGGCGAGAGAGAGTGGAGGGGAGAGAGATTTATAAAGGATGTACACATCATTTGCATGTTTCAAACCATGTCTCTTGCTAAAACAGAAATACATGAATAATATGTTTGTAAGAAAAAATATGTTAGAACATGCCCGTAAGAGTTAGAGAATTGAGTTCTAATACCAATGTTATCCCATTGCAGCCATATCAGGATGGTCCTCACAAATCACGCGGGGAATCGAACCTAGTTCTTTGGCGTGACGAGCAAACGCTTTAACCACTAAGCTATCCCTTGAATATGTTCCAAGGATCTTAATATATGACGTATCCGACGCGAGAAACAATGCATTTCCTTCCTCAATTCGACCAAGGGTTTGCTTAAACACATATAATACTTCATACACCACATACCATGTCTTTTAGCAGATATTTCCTACGATTATGGAAATGGTTTTGTCACTTTTATTTATTAAACTGTGTATGGATGTTGAATAATCTATTCCGGTGAATCTTCTTTATTCTAAATAAATTCTGTTTTCTTCTACAGGGAACATATTCCATCTTTTCCACTACCTTCCTTTTCAAACTGTTCTGACTTAGCACCTTAACCCATCCCTCGGGGTTTATACAGAAAGTGTGTCTGAAATACACTTAAAATTCTTAAGTTCTTAAGTTCTTAAGCTTACGATCTAAACCCTGCATAAGCCCATATTATATCGGTACATTTGATGGCTAATTTGGATGATTACCAGAGCTTAATCCCTCACACCTTGGTATATGTAGCTAATATCCACTGGACGCACAAGCGATCGTACTTTCACGCCAAGCCCACATTGTTGTCGGGTCGCTTAATGTGTTAATGTTTATCTTGGTTTTCATTTCATAGTACAAAACAGTATACGCTCAAATGGGCAATGAGCTTATCAACGAGTGTTATCTTTGTTGCATCCACGTGTAGTTGTTGATTAAGTAACGGTATCCATACTTCAATTACAATAGAAATGATATCATTCACATGCTATCTATTTTATTCCTAAAGGTTACAGAAAAAATTTCAACAATGTATTCAATAATGTGAAGAAGTCAGCTTTCAGTGAACATAAGCGACAAAACCCTTTCCTTTCACTGACATCATCGACAGAATAGGTTTGTTAATCAATTGTTATCAACAACATATATTTTTGTCTGATAAAGAATAATGTTCACCGTATGAATCTGATGATATAAAAAAACACTTATTTTTTTCATTGTTGTTTTTTCATGGGCTATTCGAGAAAAGCACTTACAGTGAAAGTCGGGATATACAGGAAGTCTTCAACCCTTAGAACCTCGACGACGAAGATTTACAAGTCTAGCGAGAATTGAAAAAGTCTCATATTATACAGTAGACAAACAGTACAGTTTCAAATGAATGAATGAATGAATGAATGAATGAATGAATGAATGAATGAATGAATGAATGAATGAATGAATGAATGAATGGAGATCATCAATCCTTTGGTAACGCCAAATAACACTATAGATCAGACAATGTCGCTAATAAATCCAAATAGAAGTGACATCGAAAATGATGACAAGAGTTGGATTTACAAAATTGTCATCGGTGATAGTTAACAGTCGCGATCAGCAGTAGAGAAACAGACCATACCTAGTCGACGCCTCCACATTGATGTGTCTCAACTCAAACTATCTCTTGTGTGATTTGACTGAAATGCTATGGCGATATTGATACCTGCGTGTTGAGATATTAGCATATGACAATTTACAGGCTGTTCGTTGTTTTGTTACCATGTTGTGATACATTAGTGTTGTATATTATTGTTCGATGTGAATAAACTCAAGACACGCTCCTAGTTCCATGTCCTCATGTCTTATGAACCTACCATTTAACATTCTGGTCGGGGGACTGAGATTCAAGATAGAGGCAAAATATGTGTAGTTAACTGCTTGAAAGTACACAATTGATTTCTCACTGAGAGGAACCTTACGATTTATCACTTTTCACAACAGTTGTATGGTGCAAAATGTTCTGAAACAAATTATCTATGTAACCTTCTTCTCAAACAGTGTCATCGATGATCTCTGTTGAGGTTGTCTTATCTCTCCTATTTTATCCGCACGTGTAGATTTGGTGTAGATCAATTCTCGGTATTCTATGTTTGACCCTAAGAGCCTAACTAATGATGATCGGTAGTGACAGTGTGTGACCTGACCAAGCAGGAGACGTAGAACCCCGACGTGCCCCTGACTCTGCCTTGATCTAGCTACCTGACTGTGTGATGAAACACCATTCCCTCACTCACTCATTGAAATTGTGACAATGACTGACTGCCTGACCACTTCCTTGTGTTACAGGTACAAGAGTAAAAAGACATTGATGGATAAATCTAGACTGATGGACAAAGGAAACTATACCTCTCAGTTGATTTTGTCTTAATTGTGTTAGATTTTCAATTGAAAATAGCCTAAGTTAGCGATATTACAGTAATGTTCTGTACTGGATCTCAGTTAGCATTCAAAGAATACTTCTACATGGTTTTATTTTTAAAAATGTAATTTGATTTAAAACTTTACATACACAACTGCTGGTGGGTATCTAAGATATCTCATAGTTTTAAATAAATAAATTTGCTTTTTTCGGAAAAGAATTACAACATTTCAAACATAGTAAGGGTCATGTGGTTCATTTCTTACCCAAGTCTTCATTGAACCAATTTATGTTCACTCACAATTACCAAGCTACAGATTATTTTTTACAAACTGTTGCAGGAATGAGCAATTTCATTTTTTAAATGCTAAAGTTTCTTTTGGTCGTCGGTTTAGATTTAACATGAATCTTTTATATATACCCTGAACACTTACTTCGGCTAAATTTATGTCTGTATATACAATTTGTATCAGCATTTCTGCAATTGGATGAGTTGGGGGTTAATGCTTCTCTGAAGATTAGAGATAAACATTAAAGTGTTTCATCTTAAGATGGTAGGTAAGTAAAAGAGTCAGATCGTGCAGGGTATGGAACTGTGACAAACCATGGATACAAAAACGTATTTATTAAGAGCAGGTCTTTAAGACGTTCCTAAACAAACCATCTCGTATGTCACTTCACAGACAATAATGTAAAAGATTGTTGTTGTTGTTGCTGCTGCTGTTGTTGTTATGCGCCTGATTGTTACTTTACACAAAATTTCTCATAATTGAATATTTAATTTTGTTTTTATGAATAATTACACTTACGCTACTTTTTCACGACGAAAGAGAATGAATGAGTTAAGTTAAACGCCGCTTTGTTTTTGATGGTGAACGTGCCACCGGAGAGGCAGGATAAAATCATCTTTTCGCGAACACCTACTGTCATCACTATTTTACAATGATTCATAAATACATGATCATAATATCGAAGATTGACAATGGACTCTGCTTTTAGTGGATATTTCTTTTGATTATTGAAAGGGTTTCGTTGTCTTAATGTCATTCCAGCTGTATTATATAAATAAAAGTGACAAATACATCAGTTTCGTCATTGATGCTAATAAAAAGGGTGGAATCAGATAGAGACAACCTTTAATTTTGTTCGTTTCATAAATGTACAGTTTGATTTTACTGTTCTGCCAACATGTTGGTACTAGTTTCTTATTTCACAAAAGATAAACGTAGAAGGTGATGATCCTGGCGGTCATACAACCAAGTACAATTCATTCGTTGTCGCATTGTGGCTTCCTTATCTTAAAGGGAGGCTAGGACAGGTTAATTGACAGCCCCCAAAACATTGATTCCAGTCTTTCAAACACCACTCTGCTCAAACTGTATAATGCATGGGAATCTGACAAACAAAGGCACGTCAACATAAGGATTTTCAGCGGTTATTGTTTTTGTCACTGATGTGTCTTATTTGGCAAGTCTATTGTTCAACTGCCAATCCGAGCTGATAATTTCTTATTCATATGCATAAGCATTTCAGGTATTTTCTTCT